ATGTACTTCAGAGCAATGTAGATTGGCCTTTGTAACATAAAATTAGTATATTGATAAATATGTTCAACTGGGAAAGCAGTAGAAGCAAACATGGAAATATAAGCATTATGCATGTACAGTATATATAATCCTATGGGCCTGACTCACAAAAAAATGGGATAGGGAAACTAGAGGAAAAGTAAAGAAATTGCCTGTAATGACTAATTGCCTAATTATTTTTAGTGACTATTTGCCTAATTATTTTTAGTGAAACATGACTTCTTCCCCTGCCTAGCTTGTGAAACACCAACCAGGTGGGAACTCTCTTTGTAGGTGCATTTTAATCTCTTGTGACCCCCTTATAGGTCTACCATGGACTGCACGTAAATCAGAAGGTAATTTTTTTTTTTACCTTGAACACCAACCACGGGTCACAAAAAGCACTTGCTGGAAGTGGGCATATTCTAAATTAGATCAGTACCACCTTTCTTTGTACAGGTCTGTAACAAAACTATTTCAGCAATTTCTTCCTGCTGTAGCCTTGTAATAACCAATTGGAAGCTGCTTAAATAGCCTGGAGACCTTGATTCTGTACTAGAAGCATCCAGTAAAGAATAGCTGCTTCATATGAAGTCCCTGAATCTCTCTCAAAAATAAATCTCAATGCAGTGACAGCAGGGGGGATGCACAAAGTTACTGGCAAACTAAATTGCTATGAGTAAAAATAGCAAATCAAGAAGGGCCAATGCCATCTACTTTCTGTTTACAAAGTACAGTATTTTGTGAAAACCAGAAGGCCCAGTATCACGCCAGCATAGGTCCTTTTTTATTTCACTAACGTATAGTTCTGCATGCAAATCAGACATAAAACCTGATAGAGCCAGCTGCTGATTATCACTTCCATGTCCTCTTTCTCTTTTTACTGTCAGGGTCATTGTTAGTTAATAGGACCAAGTTTGTAAGCAAGTGTTTAAAGTGTTGTTAGCAGCTGTAAAGTTTCTGCATTATTATGTGGGAGATCCTTTCTTCCGTGCCTTTTATGAGGAGCGTTTCATTGTAACATAACTTGCAATTAAAACACAGCAAAAAAATGATGTTGAGCAATTATTTTTCTTATGATGTGTCAGGATAAGCTGCACAGTCAGGAAATGAAGACACCTGGTACAGTCTACTGTGGGCTTTCTATGCTGCCTCGCTGGGGTTTGAAAGGCTCGGGATGCATTAAACATCAGTTCCAAAGACAGAAAACCTTCTAATTATATGCTTCAAGGTTATCTTTAAACACCCGGCTTCATTGTTCTGTGGTCTTAGGGCAGGCAAACTGCGGAGGTTGGTAGCCTTTTACCAGACATGTGCAGAGAAAATGTATCCCATATTTAACCATGTGCCTATGACAGGTCATTGGGTAACTCAGTATAATTCTCATAATTTCCAATTCAAAACCTCTATAGTGCTTCACTCAGCCTTCCAACATGTTTGATTATATAACTGCTTACCTCTTCCCTGTTAAATTACATAAAATATTAGCTTACTCTGGAATTTCAGGAACAAAATCATAACCCCAGGATAATATATACTGTAGTATGAATGTGAGTAACATACCTTGTTTTACCTGCAAGTTAATTCTATATTGTCTACATTCACAGTTCAGCACATTTTTTCCTTGAAATTTTGGTAACGGTGCCCATCCATCTAATTACAGGAAAAAATTATGGCTGAGATTCTGCTTCATGAATCACTTTTCCTTCCTTAGCCTGTGATTGGTCAATGCAAGAGCAGCAGCAGCTTTTAGATGAAGCATTACCTGAACTTCTTTCTTCTAACCATTTTCTGTGTTAGGCTGATAGACAGAAGGTAGACCAGAGGGTCAGTAAGTAGAACTGAGGTGCAAGATGTAGAGCAGTGGGTCCCACCTGCGCAGTATGTTGTAATTCTGCCTCTTGTAACAATCCAGCAGTATTGTGGTCCTCTCTCTGTACCTGCTGCCACCCAGATCGAAACCATCTCTCTGCAGGGCTGTGCTCATCCTTTCTGCCACTGCTGCCCACAACTGACCAGAATGGATGACCACGCAAAGCAGGATTTGTTAGTCATTTTGCCTTCACTTAGCCTGTGATTGGACAATAAAAGAGCAGCAACATACAGATGTACCATTACCTGGAGCTTCAATTGTCTAATCATGTTCTATGTTAGGCTGATAGTGTTTGTGATTAGGTCAGAGTGCTGCTGCTTATATTTTCCAGTCTTAATGCTGCTGTGCAAGAGATTACATAAACTTGATTTCAAGTTAAGCCTCGTATACATGATGAGCATATTGGACAAATGATTGTTCATTTTTTTGCATGCTAGTCTCATATTGATGATGAAAAGGATACTAAAGTTATGAAAATTCTCCTAGAACAGAATAAAAATTCAGAAGTGATGGCATGTATTATGTATTTGTATTGTATTGTTGAGTGAAAACTGTACTAATTAAACAAAAATTGAACAATCTGATATTGTACAAGAAAAATATTTTGTGTTTGTCCCTTCGAATAGTTTTGGACGAAAGCTGTGTACTAATGATCAAATTATCGTACAATCATTTTCAAAGTGATATTTTTTGTATGATTTTCTAATCATATGTACAAGGCTTTAACCTAGTTACAGTGGGGAAAAAAATTATTTGATCCCCTGCAGATTTTGTAAGTTTGCCTACTCACAAAGAAATTAAGGGTCTATCATTTTTTATCATAGATGTATTTTAAATGATAACAAATGAATGATGAGACAGAATATCATCCAAAAATCCAGAAAAAACACATGATACAAATGTTATAAATTGAGCTGTAGTTCAGTGAGTAAAATAAGTATTTGATCCCCAAGCAAAACATGACTTGGTACTTGGTGGAGAAACCCTTGTTGGCAAGCACAGAGGTAAGACATTTCTTGTAGTTGGTTACCAGGTTTGCACACATCTCAGGAGGGTTTTTGGTCCACTCTTCTTTATAGATCTTCTCTAAATCCCTAAGGTTTCTTACCTGTTTCTTGGCAGCTTGAAGTTTCAGCTCCCTCCATACATTTTCTATACGATTAAGGTGGAGACTGGCTAGCCCATTCCATGACCTTAATGTACTTCTTCTTGAGCCCTTCTTTTCTTGCCTTGCTGGTATGTTTTGGGTCATGCTGGAAGACCCATCCACGACCCATCTTCAGTGTTCTGGCTTAGGGAAGAAGGTTCTCATCCAAGATTTTAAAACACATGGTCCCATCCATTGGCCCCTCAATGTGGCAAAGTCAACCTGTACCTTTAACAGAGAAACATCCCCAAAGTATAATGATTTCACTTCCATGCTTGACTGTAGGGATGATGTTCTTAGGGTCACAGTCAGCATTTTTTTTCCTCCAAACATGATTCGAGTTAATGCCAAAGAGCTACATTTTGGTCTCATCTCAACACAGCACTTTTTTCCCATTTCTTCTCTGAATCATTTGGATGTTCATTGGAAAACTCCAGACAGTTCTATACATGTGCGTTCTTGAGGAGGGGGACCTTGCAGGCGCTGCAGTATTTCAATTTGTGTCGGCGTATTGTGTTACCAATGGTTTATTTGGTAATTGTGATCCTAACTGCCTTAAGACCATTCACAGGCTCCTCCCATGTAGTTCTGGGCTGATCCCTCACTTTTCCCATGATCATCCTTACCCTAAAAAGCAAAATCTTACATGGAGCTCCAGACCGAGGGCAATTGATGGTTATTTTGTATTTCTTCCATTTGCTAATAATCGCTCCAACAGTTGTGTCCTTCTCACCAAGTTTCTTGCTGTTGGTCTTGTAGCACATTTCTGCCTTGTGCAGGTCTACAGTCTTGTCCCTGATGTCCTCTGACAGCTCTTTGGAACCATTTGCCCATGGTGATGAGGTTTGAATGGAAGAAAGAGATTCTGTGGACAGGTGTCTTTTATACACATAAACGAGTTGTCACTAGAAGCAGCTTCTTAAATTGACAGGACTATCTGTGTACCACATGAGCACATAGTCAGTCTGTGGGAGCCAGAATTATTGTTGGTTGATAGGGGATGATATACTTATTGTATGCACTGAAGTGCAACTCAATTTATAAAATGTGTATCATGCATTTTTTGTGGATTTATAGACCCTTAATTTCTTTGTAAACTTACATGATCTGTAGGGGATCAAATAATTATTTTCCCCACTGTAACTAGGCTTTGGACATAAGTACTATGTCTGCAGCAGCACTTACATGTAAACAGACCCCCAGCTGCTATAGCAGCCAGAACATTTTTTTTTTTTAACCTTTTTACAATTAACTTGCTTGGATTGAAAAGCAAAAGCAAAAAGCATACAGTCTGGATGTAAAGGAACAGGAAATGCATTAGCCAAATCAAAAATTGTGAATAGCTGGCTGCTTGAGGCGTCTGATTTAACAGTGCGTATGGATTTGATACGATGGGTGTGCCAGGATCTAAAATCTTTTTCTACTACTCTCGAATCATGGACCTGCTGTAAGTTTTTTTTAGACCTTTGGACTTCATTTTTATAGAAAATGTTCCTGTTTATCGCATCCATCTAGGCTATATTAAGTATTGTGGCGGGTGTAGTTTAATGGCACCTTCTCTTAGTCTGATGTTAACTGGTTCTTCAATCAAATAACCCCACATCACAGATTTTTCTAATAACCTGTAATGTATCTCCTATTGATGTAAAGTTTGCCTGCACCAACTGTAATATACAGTATCTTCCTCTAATAATACATTTGTTGGCACTATATCAGAAATTAAAACTTGAGTGACAATTTCTGTTTCACAACCTAATTTCAATTACACAAGTACTATCTCCTTAACTAGCTGCCGACCGCAGATAGCCGAATGACGGCTGCACTGCGGCCGGCCAGTTCTGAGTGGACGTCATATGACGTCCTCCCAGAACACAGCTGATCATGTGATGTGGTAAAAGGCCAATCACAGCGGCCTTTTACCACGTGATCAGCGGTGTCCAATGACACGCTGATCAGAGGGAAATGCAAGTGCCGGTTCTCGGCTGCACTTTCCTCACGCTGTCAGATCGTGAGGAAAGTACTGCCGAGAACCGGCAGTGTTCAGAGCGGGGATCGGCACCGATCATCAGGGCACTGATGATCAGTGCCCTGATGATCGGTGCCCAGCAGTGCCACCCGCAAGTTCTGCCCACCTGTGCCCAGCAGTGCACCCACTAGCTCCGCCCACCCGTGCCCAGCAGATCACCCACCTGTGCCCAGCAGTGCACCCACCTGTGCCCATCAGTGCACCCACCTGTGCCACTCTGCATTGTCACCTACCTGTGCCCAGAAGTGCCACCTACCTGTGCCCAGCAGTGTCACCCACCTGTGCCCAGCAGTGCCACCCACCTGTGCCCACCCACCTGTACCCACCCACCAGTGCTGCCCACCAGTGCCACCCACCAGTGCAGCCCAGCAGTGCTGCCAGTCAGTGCCACCAGTCAGTGCCCAGGGGTTGTGCCAGTCAGTGCCCAGCAGTGATGCCAGTCAGTGCCGTCTATCAGTACCCATCATCAGTGTCACCTATCAGTGCCACATATTAGTGCCGCCTATCCGTGACACCTCATTAGTGCTGTCTATCAGTGCCGCCTATCCGTGCCACCTCATTAGTACTGCCTATCAGTGCCCTTTAGTGCTGCCTATCAGTGCCCATCAGTGCCGCCTATCAGTGCCCATCAGTGCTGCCTCATCAACGCACATCAGTGAAGGAGAAAAAATACCTGTTTGAAAAATTTTATAAAAGAAACAAAGAAACTTTTTTTTTTTTCAAATTTTTTGCACTTTTTTTATTTATAGCGCAAAAAGTAAAGCGCCCAGTGGCGATTAAATACCACCAAAAGAAAGCTCTATTTGTGAGAAAAAAATGATCAAAATTTCATATGGGTACAATGTTGCATGACCGCGCAATTGTCAATCAAAGTGCGGCAGCGCTGAAAGCTGAAAATTGGCCTGGTAAATAAGGGGGTATAAGTGCCTGGTAGGCAAGTGGTTAAAGGAGAACGTCCCTTTCTGTTTTTGTGCACTGCTTTTAACATCAAAGCATGTTTAAAGAGCTTGTGTTAATTTAGTACCATGTGAACTTTTAACTTAAATTTAATTTGGCAATCCTAGTAAAGAGCACCCATAGAAATACATTCATTTTACCATGATTAGAAAACAGACTTAAAATAACTGTGATCACATGATGTTTTTCATCATATTAAAAAAACAGCATATCTACCTTATTTTCTTTCTAAAAAACAAAAAACAGAAAAGTTATAATAACTTTCAGGAATGCATAGATCAGTATATTACTTTGTATCACATCATATTACCTATCCCACTGTATCTTCCTTTTTTCTATACTTTACTTCCTATGATTAGATGGACAGCTGTAGTTCTTGACCCATCTTTGTTGGGCCAGGGCCAAAAGTTCTGTTATTCCATATCACAGTAAAATTTGACTTTCATTTCTCTGTGTTTTAGCCTTTTTCCGTGTTTTACAATGTATTAGTTGTGGTCATACGTGACCATAAATGAATCTCACAACACCAAAATACCCTTTAGGAATATTAGAAATAGGAATACATTGCTTGTCATCCTTTGTCCATCCTGCTCATATAGGTAATGTTCCTGTGACCCAACTTCCATATCTTTAGCATACATTCTCTAGCTTTTTAATCTGCATAATCCTTCAGGGGGACTCTGTCCTCTAGTCCCTGGGGACTTGGTAACCCTGTTACCAATTGTGGATCCTGTCCACCTTATCTAGGGGCTTAGCATAGGCAGAACTGTACCTCTGGTTCATATATTCTTTAGTGCTCCTCTTTCACTGTGCATTTTCTGACAGTCTCTTACCCTTAATTCCCTTGCATAACTAAATGTCCATAATGACCAACCAGTCTTCTCTCTTCTCTACTTGTGCCTATACCCTCTTACATCTAAACAATTACAGCAGATATGTCCTTCGTATAACTTGTTAGCAGAACAATTTATATTTTCTTAACTATAACAATTTGATGGACAGTAGACAGTGACAACATAGCATACAGTTAAATTAAGGGGAGTACAGTAGGTACCTTTTGTCCAGAAAATGCTTTATTTATCCAGTAAATCTGATAACTCAAATGTAAGCTTACCTTGCTGGCTGAGTATCAGAAATTCCCAGATCATCTTAAGCTTCTCATTTTGGATTCCCGGGGTCTTCCATACATCCCTTCTTCCTTGCAGGCTCACAAGCTGTCTTGGAAATTTTATGGATATGCAACTCCTATCCTCATATTGATCAGCAGTTCCAAATTAATAATAACTACTGCAGTAGGGAACAGACACAAAAACGGTATACTCAGCAATTTTTTAAATAACTGTTCTGTTTTCTCGGTGCATTTGAAGTTTTTATATAACCATGCTTATGTAATTATCACATTATTATTACAATTGTAGGCAGTACATAGATGGGCTAGTTTCTTATCAGCAAAAGAATGTGAATATGTAATCAAAACATTATTAGTGCTGTGTGCACAGTATGAGTGCAGTGTGCAATACATACGCAAGGCATACAAAATGTAGTATACTTTTCTACAGAATTTTTAATTTCTTTCACAACCTTTAAAGGGTAAGCTCACCTTGCCAGGAAGCTGTGAATATCCATCGTAACGTACGCAATGGAGATTATTGGCAATCATTGGTCAGCCCAGCTATGTGACCATGCTGACCAATGGGAAATGCATTTGAGGTTTCTTCTTCCAGTAAGGTGTCCAAGAAGGAAAAAGTGCTTTTCATTGGTGAGCACTAGCATTATGATGGATACCCATCCCAGGACTGAGTATTGTGGTGTATGGTGGACGGGTCGTTACACAACCAGCAGCATGGGTCATCATGGCTGTTATGTGTGCAGCAGGGTCTGGGGGGTGTTCAGGATATTTTGCATTAGTTCAACTTTTCATTTTTCATGAAAAGGTGAACTTGCCCTTTAAGGAGATGCCTCATAGAGGAAGGACAGCATCCTATTACTCAATAAGGCTTTCTTGATAACCAAGCTACTTACCATAAATATGATTTTATATGATTCTGTTCACCTTCTGCCGGACTATAAGTCAGTGGATTGTTTTCTCCTTTTGACTGTTGTATCTTATAAATTTTACTGTCTCTTTCAATGAAAAAAAGATTGAAGTGAAATAAATCCTATCCATCCTTGATCCATCACAGATAAACATGACCTGGGTAGAGCCTGGATTTGTTCAAACTGGTTTATTCATGCATAATCATAAGCCACTATAGTACAAAAATAAATTGCTGTTGGATGCCTCAGACAGCAGCTACAACTCTTTTATTAAGAAAAAATGTACTTTCCATCTCTTTGCGTACACAGAAGATACAAAGCATGTTATTGTTGTAGCTGTAGTTTTGACATCCTCTGTCTGAAGTATGAGCCTACACTGAATAATAGTAGGAGATAAGAGAGAACTATATAGTTCGTCTTTTTCTTTTTCTGTAATTTTGTTTCCTTCTCGGCTCTCTGGGTTTCTTTTTTACCCGTAAGTATATTTACATTTTAAACCTGAGTTTACCGGTACAATAGCTGTCAGTAAAGGCTGTTAACAACAAGCAATTTTACTTATCTGCTCTTGGTGGTTTTCTGGATCTCTTATCTTGTCACTTGGTTACAATGATTATTTGAAGCTGAACTTACTTGAAGCTGTCAAAGAGCTAAACACACTAATAACATACCTGTATATGAACTTCTTTAACCTGCCAAAGGATTTGTAATTCTGCTCAGAACAAATCCAGGTGCACTGGTCCGAGAACATATCCAGGTCCTTAATCTCTGGTACAGTTCAATACGGAATGAATAGGAGGACTGTCAGGGCTCCGGGAATGACCAGAGGTGTGTGGACTGACACAGGGAAACACAGACTTCAGGTATAGTGTGTAAACAAGATAATTTATTAAGGACAACACAAACAGAAACGCAGTGCAACAAACCAAACCCAAAACTAACAAAAATACATACAACAATGTGAAACAAACCCAAACCTAAACTGATATATATATATATATATATATATGTATATATATATGGAGCACAACATAGTCAGACGGGCCGGGTCGGTAGCTAACGGGCAAACAGGGTACCAGGAGCGAGCGGAAGAGTGGTCAGGAATAGCCGAGGTCAGGACAGACGGAGTTCATCCAGAGTCAGGTTCGGAGTCAGGATCAAAGCAGGATCAGACAGGATGCAGGTACAGGGGCTCATGGGAAACATACACCAAGACACTGATCACAGGCCTGGTCCTGCTTAAATACACCTCCTGCAATCAGCCTCAGGTGATGGCCTGATTGCAGGAGTGAGACTCTGGCTGCTGAGAGCACCCGCTGGCCAGCCTTGGTACTGCAGCCCACAAGGCAGGTGAGTCCCACCACCATTGGCGAGTCCATTCCTGACAAGGACTCTGTTCATGGAGCTTACAGTCTAAAGGAAGGAGGAGATGGCACAAAAGGTGATAGCTGCAAGGGATGATCTGATGGAGGTGACACAAATACAGTTCTTAGGTGGAGGTGGGGTAGGCTTCTCTCAATAAGGGTGTTTTCGTAGATCACCTAAAGACGGACAGGTGGGGCCTGAGCTGACACAATGGAGTAGGAAAGAGGTTTTGGAAAAGTCCTGGAAGCAGGCATTGGAGAAGGTGACAATGGAGCTAGTTAGCAAGATGTCTTGAGAGGAGTGGAGCAGATGATTTGGATGATATCTGTAGATAAGGTTGTTGATATAGTTAGGGGCAGTGCTGTGGATGGCTTTGTACATTGTGGTTAGTGTTTTGAATTATATGCTTTGGGCTAGTGGAAGCTAGTGAAGGGATTGGCAGAATGGGGCAGGCAGCAGTCACTGATCAGTTGATAAGGTGTTTAAATCTAGCATCAACATTCATAATAGACTGAAGGGGGGGGGGGTAGCCTATGTAAAGGTAGGTCACTGAGGAAAGAGTTGCAGTAATCAAGGTGGCATATAACCAAGGTGTGGATAGGTTATTTTGTGGTGGCGTTAGTCAGGAAGGGGTATATTTTGGAAATGTTCCGGAGGTTGAGGTGGCAGGATTTAGCCAGTGATTGGATGTGGGGCCCGAAGGAAAGGCCAGAGTGTAGGATTACACTTAGCACCCTGGCATGTGTGGTGGAGGGACCAATGGTTGTGCTGTTGATCTTAATGGTAAAATCATGAGTGGGAGATCGGGGAGGAGGAAATATTACAAGCTCTGTTTTAGAGAGATTGAATTTGAGGACTTAAGCAAAGTACAGCTTAAGCAATGACCCACCTTAGCTTGCCTGTTCAGCAATGAGCTAGCAACCACACACAGTCTTCATGTTCACAGACTGACAGG